GTTGATTGGTGTTGCAGGTGAATCTGCCTTCAAATCATTATCACTTTGGGAGCTTGAATCATTAATAATAGGGGCTGACATTACACTATCGGGTGTTCCAGCTGGTTCTCCTACCAAATCAGAATTCCCTTGAGCTGGTGTTGATGGTCTACTTTTAGGTGCTGTAATCTTGCAGTTATAGCAAAGCCAGGTTGTTCTTGCATTGCTTGGATAACGTTTGTAAGACATGCATGACAGATGAAAAAATTTACCATTTGAGCACTGTTCATTATTACATTTCAGCAGTTTATCATTTGTCTGTGCTTTTTCTTGACATGTGCAGATAGTTGCAAGTTTTGTTGCCTCACTTAGGAATTGATCCTTCATTTCAGGCAATTTCTTGCTTTTTGCCCTGGTAAATTGGGGCAACTTTCTACAATGAGGGCAGTACCACATTTTTGGAACTGTTACATTCTTGATACCCAAACAGGATGGATGAAATTTGGATATTTTGCATGTGTGGTTGGCACATGTTATTGGTGCTTCACTAGTTGTTTCCCTGCAGTAACAGTCACCAGGTTTTGTGACTTCTTCTGGGGAAAGCTGGGCTTTTAAATCCATCTTTCGGGTATACCATCTTCCCAATATTTCTGGTAATATGCAAATTCTCCAGAAAGTCTCTAGTTTGGGAATTTGTGTTTCCCAGTGTTTCATGTCTGGAGCAAGCCTTTCCAAGAAAAATTTCGATGTTTGCCCATCTGAGGCGAACACAATAAAATCTAAATATCCTCTCCCACTTGTATGGATTTGTTGTTGTGCTTGGTAATAATAGTCATGATCTCTTTTGAGATGGAAACAAGATTCATTTTTCTGCAAACAGGAAGATTTCTTTTGCACATAACTGTCAAAGTCAACTCCATCAATGCAGTAGGGGCACTTGACTTCCCCACATCCCTGTCCACAGCAATCACATTCACAGAGAAAATCTGGAGTAGCATGTATAAATTGGTACTTCTTGTTTATAATTGTTCCACATTTAGTTATAACAAAGTTAGCATGAGTTTTTCGCATTGTTTTTTCATACTCTGCGATGGCAATATCCTCATGTTTGCATCCATATCTTGTGGCTGCTGTGGAAAAGCGAAAAATATCTGGATAACAAATAGCTTTGACCAGAGACTGGGAGGGCTGTGAAGGATCTGTATGACTGGCTGCACGGCATTTGGAAGCCCCTACTCTTCCAGCCCTGTGCCTAAAAAAAGCACTCCCTTTGGCCTGATCCACGGTTTCCCTTTCGATTGACTTAATATCTTCATCAGATAGGTTCAATTGTACTTTATTACACTCCTTTAGAAGATCAGTATATGAAAGATCTAGATACTTGGGATCAAACAAGTCTGTCACCGCCTTAATGTTTCTAGTACTTGAAATAAATGAATCAGCAAATGGGTGAATTAAACTTAAACATACTGGTTTAATTTTGCATTCACTCAAAGAGTGATAAAAAGCATCCATTTCTTCAGCAGAAGGTTCTAGAGATGATGACATTTTCACTTCTGGACGTTTAGGCGTGGAGGTGTGAGATGGTGGACTTGAATCAACAACAGGGAAAGCAACCGTTTCAATGGACTTATCGAGGTCGGCTTTTAGTTTCTTTGCAGAAGAAAAATTAATTTCTTTGATCCTTGCGTAGTCAACTTGCTTAACTGTGGTAGGCAACAGCCACGTACATTTTACTTGGGTGCAGGCAAGCTTCCCATTTAATCTCGTCCACACTTCAATATAAAAAAGTA